TTTTGTTCTGACAGCAACAATATATCAGTCTTAAAGGCACGGCGACAAAAATAGGCTGTTTAATTCTAACTGATCAATAGAAGTTGGAAAATGGTCACGTAAAAATTAATTATGTCTGTTTTTGGACCATAAGAAACCCACACAAATGCCACAAGTGGACCTCAAGCAAGAAAAAAAAACAATGGAAAAAAAGGAATAGGCCCTTTAAAGCACCCACAATTCTGTCATCCAAAAAAATTCTACACCCATTAAATTTCTTTCCTTTAAGTGTACATTTAAGCAAAGTTATTTAGAAACCTTTATTTTTAAGAATATCTGTATCTTGTTCCCTTCGATAGGTTCCGTCTGCACGTCCAAAAATGCTTCCTCCCCTCTCTTCCCTCCATCCTATCCCTCCATCAGCATGGCCCAAAGTTAACCTAGACACATTGTTGTGTGGTGAAAACAACCGCAGAGAGAACACCCCTGCTGCCTCTATCCCTGCGCCTGTCGACCCCTCGTGCTCTCGAGCGCAGACAGATTTCGGGGATTAGCACTGACACCTGCGGCTGTGAGGGGCGACAGCAGAATAATATGGCGGTGACGGGTGAAGACAGACTCTTCATCCCACATAACACAACAAACAGATCACCTGTCTCTTCAGCTCAGCATCACAGCCACCACCACAGCGGAGACGACGAAAGGTAAAGTTTCAAAGTCCTCAGAATGCACTGTGACACGTACAAGTCAGTACATCAAACTGCAGCGGTGTTTACCGTCAGAGACAACTCCAGTTTAATGAAGTGAGATGTATATGCATACAGTTCTCTCAAAATTCAACAGGAACTGATTACAGCATTGATGAAACATTTACAGAACTATGTAACAGTCTCAGGCATCTAAGCAGACTGTTTGAAGCCATTTATCTTGACAATAAGTGTTTTGTTGCCAGTAAAAACACCACATACACTGCAAAAAATAGTATCTTGTCAAGTGAAATGATCTTAAACGTAGTCGATATATCTAATATTTCCCATTTTGAGATGGTTGTGCACTTATTATAAGATTATTTAACTTATTTCTAGACATTATTTACTTATTTTAGGTAATTTTATTAAGTGAAACTATCTCATTATATTGGCAGATGATTTTGCCGGTTTCAAGCACATTTCTTAAAACAAGCACAGTATTGTCAGATAATTTCACTTAATAAAATTACTTAAAACAAGTAATTTATTGACTATATTTAACATAATTGTACTTGACAAGACAGCATTTTTGCAGTGTATCATTAGAATAGATGCAAATAATTTCTTATTTTGAAAAAGTATTCGATTTCTTGTGAGCTAGACTGAAGAACGAAGTTTGGTTCCAGATTTCTCCTGGACGCCTCCAGCCATCCCATTCATTTCTTAAATTTCATCACCAGAACACCTGATTTAATATAAAGTATTGATTAGCCAAACCAGCTATTGGATGAACACTACAGATAATTCTGGTCTCAAGGACTTTGGAAATGGTTAAATGAACACAATGGCATACCTAAAATCACTATTACTGTATTAATGTTATTTCTATTTATTGCAATATCACTGTTATTCTGATCTAATAAATGCTTACACACCAGATAAAAAAGGTTTTAATTCTGATTTTCTCAGGTGCCTAAAACTTCTGCATAACACTGTATGTCTGGGGCACAATGTTGTTTATGCCAGGCAAAGGAAAAGAGTTTTCTGTGCGAAAAGTAGTGATGCACCGAATGAAAATTCTTGAGCGAAACCAAAATTCAGGACAGAAAATGTATGTATTACTTTATGGTTTCCCGAAAGCATCTAAATACCAAGTCGCTTTAGTGTTCGTCATTAAGAGAAGAAACAGCTGTGAACCCACACTAGGAGGAGCTACCAAATGCATGTGTTTGCAGTAAAACTGTTCAAAACTAGAGGTGAAAAAGTTTATTACCAACTACTTTTTTCAGCTAAATGTTTTGGTATTTTTTGGCTGATAAGCTGAAAGTGCCACCTTCAACCATTTTGGCTTTCAGTGATTTTTCGGTGACTGAAATTTCGCTGCATTCCTAGAGAAAGTATAGACATGTATGTGTATATTTGAGAATTCAGAAAAAAAGAGCAGACACTTCTACAGAGGCTTCTACATAAACTTTTTAAGCTCTTCAAATGAACTGTGACATACAGTTCAAGTACATCAAGCTGGAGTGGTGCTTACTATCACAGACAACTAAAGCTTTATAAAGGATTTTGCCTTTTGTAAAAATTGTAATTAAATACGTTTATATCCAGTGGACTAATTTGCCTTATAACGCCTTGCCATGAACATTTGTTTAAATATGTTTTAGGCCAAATCCTTCTCAAAATGATCATAATGCAATGTCTCAGCATATTCATATGCATTTTATGCAAAAGCTTTCTGTGAGGGAGCTTTCAGAGGTGGACGTCTGGTTCCTATCACCACCACTGTGAACAGTTCTGACTCTGTAAGCTTCTCTAGAACAGAGCGTTTCACACCGAACCACTCTGAACGACTTTTCTAATATCTTAACCGTTTAATTATGCAAAACGTTCGAGAAGAATACTGGAATTCCCCTCCCTCTTCCTCTGAAATTCCTTCTTCGTTTTGGGTCTTGGCTGCTTTGATAAAACAGGAGCTCAAAGGTTACATTCTCTTAGGTACATTATGTTGTCAATCATCTCACTTTCAGAGGTTTTGGGATTAGAACTGTAAAATTAGCTTTAGGGCTCGGTGGCTTCTTTCCATCTGTCCTCATCAATGCAATGCATTTACTTCTCACATGCATGAATGACATGCATGGACAAGCAGGTACAAACATCAAAGTGCTCATAAGCTCCGAGGACACAAGGTGCATGTCCGGCCTGCACATTCTGCCTTGTCAGACTGACACTAGGCAGTAAGGGCACACATGATTTACAGTAGAGGATGGATTCAGCTGAAAGGCACACAGATGGCCATGTGAAAGAATCTGCTGAGTGTAGAAGGCGGAGAACTTTCCATTCCAGCACTAACTGCATAGATCAGGTGCGCAGACAGACAGACAGACAGACATATGGGCAAGATTTACTGGAAGCAAGACTTATTACATAAAGCCTTTATCTGTTGTCTGACTTAAAGGTCAGGAGTTCTAAATAGTTCATAACTCATACAGAGTTCATTTAAAGCTAGTGAATGTATTGAAACGTGTGAACTTCCCTTGTCAAATTAAATGTTTTGTTGATTTTCTAAGCAAAAATAAGTGCTGTGTAGAGAATACGCTTCTGTAGATTTTAGTGAATTCAGTAAAACATAAAATGTGGCCTGTGTAAAAGTAATGGCACACTCTATACTGTGTATGTTTCAATATGTCAAACGAATGGAAGTTAAGCATTAGAATTTGCAGAAAAACTAAAAATGAAAATGTGTTAACTTACTTTTTACTTAGACAATCAACAAAACATGTAGTCATGTGCAAAAATGTACAGTCATGTGGTCAAACAACAAATCAATACAACTTTAATACAGTAGCCCAGCGACGACTACATGTTCTGCAGGATAAATACAAAAGTTTTCAAGTTACATGTCTTGTTGATTTTCTAAGTGAAAATAAGTTAACACATCCTCTACAGAGAACACACTTCTGCAGATTTTAATGAATTTAGTAAAAAATAAAATGTTGCCTGTGTAAAAATTGTGGCACTTTTGATGCTGTGTGTTTCCCAACATGTTATCAAATGAATGGGAGTTGTGCACTAGAATTTTCAGAGAAACTACATTGTAATGCTTTGTTCACAGGACTTCCTGCAAGTACAACCAACAAACCACAACTTGTGCAAAAGGCAGCAGCAACAACAACTAGAAAACAGGATCATGTTAGAGCAGTTTCAGCATCACTGCACCGGCTGCCTCTCTTTTAGAATCGACTATAAAATTTTACTACTACTTTTTAAATCTCTTAATGGTTTAGCACCTTCATACATTTCTGAGTGCTGATAGATGATGTTCCTAATCAGAGCTTTAAGATCATCTAGTGCTGCTTCACCATGTTCCACGTGTGAAACTTAAGCAGAGCGGAGGGGCAGCGTTTTGTTTTTAATGCACCAAAGATCTGGAACATGTTACCAATAAACATCCATCAGGCTCCTTTTGTTAATGTTTTTAAAAAACAGTTAAAAACGTATTTCTTTTCTTTAGCATTTGACTAGTTTCTTTATTGTTTTCTTAGTTTTTACTGCAATATTACTATCACCTTTATTTTCTTGTTAGTTGCATTTTTATTGTATTTTTTTTTCTTTTTTATTTATAATTTTATCTTGTGCTTTTTAATTGAAATTATTAATATATCCCCTTTTCTGCTATTTATTATTTATTATTTTTTGTTTTTATTTTTGATTATCTTTTTCTCTTCTTTCACTGTTGTTTTTCCTTTGTATTGTGAAGCACTTTGAGATGCATTTTTAATGTATGAAAGGTGCTATACAAATAAAGTTGTATTATTATTATTATTATTATTATTATTATTATTATTATTATCCCTTGTCAAAATACATGTTCTGTTGATTCTAAGTGAGAATAAGTTAATACATTCTCTACAGTGAACACATCTACATATGCCATTTTTCTGCTAACTGTAGTGCTCAATTTCTATTCATTTCCTGACATTAATATAATGGGAAGAAAAATAAAACATAAAACATATAAAACGTGCCATAACCTTTACACATGCCACATTTCTAGTTTGATTTTGTTCCAAAATGTTAAATTCAGCAAATAAACTGTGATTGTGTATTGAAATGAGCAGACGTGTGTTCTCAGTAGAGGATGTGTTCACTTCTTTTCACTCAGAAAATCAACAAAACGTCATTTTGCACGCGTCTGTAATCTTATGGGGGTTGTTCAGACTTTTGCGTATACCTGTATTAAAAAGGGTTTTGGGTGAAAAGGTGCTGCCCTCGTCTTTGAAAGAAACGCGGTTAGCGTGTTCAGTAAACACGCATGAATCAGCCTCATACCTTCAGCTTGTGAAGACGCACTCTGACAGGAGAGAGGAAGGGACAGGAGCAAGATCCACACACAGCAATGATCCATACTCGCTCTCTCTCTCCTCTCCTCTCCTCCCGCTCTTATCTCTCCTCCAGCAGCTCCTCTTTTCTGGCCTGATATTCTGTGACGGGGCTCAGCTTCGCTTTATTCAGCTGTGACTCTTGCGCTCCTTTATCAGACAGAGAGAGAGAGAGAGAGAGAGAGAGAGAGAGAGAGAGATCAATATCACAATACTATATGCAGAGAAAATGCTGTCAAATAAAGTTCTCAATCTGGTGCATAACTTTTTCATCGTAATCTCAGTCAATTACGCTTTTATCATGTAGCATATTCATCCTCCCTGGGCTTGGCAATGCGTTTGTGGTGAGTGCCGGTCGAGATATGAGAACCAAACAGAAGCAGTACTATACATTTAACAGCATGTAGAGATTGTTAGCATGAAATAACATACAAAAGAAATTGCAACGGCCGAACTATCTCACTTAAAAAGCGCTAAACGTGTCCGTGACAGCACGAGAATACGCAAGCAACATTATTACTTTTCTTTTCGTTCTAGGAAAACCAGGAAAACACAGGAAAACTATGAATATTATCAGAGGCAAATGTGACAGTGATGGATCTACTGATGTGTATTTGATCAGGGCCTGAGGGAAAAACGCAACGAGGACAATGAAATGCTACCATTGAGATTCAATACATCAGTGCTCAGTTTACTGTGTTCTCATAGGACACAGATGAAAAGAGGAAGACAGAGTTATAGCTCTGCTTTCCGGCCCAACTAAAGCCTCTTATGTGTATTTTCTCTGTAGTCTTGGATGCTGCACATATTATAAAGACTTGGCAAACATACAGCACAAAACCTCTGAAAAGCAAACATGGGTTGTCCAGCTATGGAATACCTGAAAACAATAATAATGTGTTTCAGTGACCACAGCAAAGCCTTCGACTATTTAAATTTTACACTGTTAGATATTAAGGTTCTGTGCAGGTACATTTCTTGTTCATCAAGGTACAAACACTGTAAATGTTCCCTCAAAGGTACAACAGTGCTTTTAAGGCACAACTGTATTGATACCTACCATGGTCCATTAGTAGGACGTCTCCATGGCAGTTAGTAACAGTTCATTTAATGCCACCTGGTTATAATGTTTTATCCAAGGACCTTTCTATATGTGTTGTGGGCAGCTGACACTTAATGTTACATCTTATACAACCTATTAAGATCAGACTTAAAGCTGCACTATGTAAGATTTTTTGTTAAAACTGAAAGAAGTTGCATTACTAAGACAGGAAAAGGGAAAACAGGCTAAAATATGGTGTGCAAGTCACCCTGTGTAACCCTAAGTAATCGTTTAAAAGTCAGAGGCGTCGAGTCGGGAGTTCTTCGGGCCACACTGTACACCTTTACGTATTAACATCTCACCCACACACTGTTAGAAATAAAGGTTCTGTGCAGGTACATGTTTTGTTCATCAAGGTACAGGCAATGTAAATGTTCCCAACGGTCCAACTCTGCCTCTTAAATAAGTTTTTCCAGGTGAAAAGTTCGTATTTGTGCCTTTTCATAACCGAATGTTTTAAAACAGCAGTAAAATAAAAGCCTGGAGACGAGACGGGGTGTGTGGAGTCAGTACAGCTTAGAACATATCATTTCAGTGGATTATGGTTCAGTTATGTTCCCTGACTAAAGGTACTGAGATGGACCCTTGAGGGAACCACCCCAGTGACAAGAGGGGTACTGACCCAGTGACAGTTTAGTACCTTTATTTTTGAGGGCATAGAATGTCCTTAGGAAAAAAGGGAATACCATCGTTCTAATGAGGAACCTCTACACTGATCAACAAGCCACATTTTGCACAGAAAATGGACCAACAGACTGGTTCCACACTGGCAAAGGACCTAGACAAGGTTGCATTCTATCACCATACATGCTCAACCTATATGCAGAACATAATCAGAGAAGCAGGACTTGGAAAAGATAATTGAGGATTCAGATGTGAGGAAGAAACATAAATAACCTTAAATATGTAGATGATACAACACTCATAGCAGAAAATCCAGAAGACCTGAAGTCTGAAGATCTGAATCTAATGATTACAAGTGTGTTGAAAGAGAGTTCAAAGAGAACTCAGTCAAAATCTGACTGAGGGAATTTGAGGGAGGGAACATAACTGAACCATAATCCACTGAAATGATATGTTCTAAGCTGTACTGACTCCACACACCCCGTCTCGTCTCCAGGCTTTTATTTTACTGCTCTGTTTTAAAACATTCGGTTATGAAAAGATACAAATACGAACTTTTCACCTGGAAAAACTTATTTAAGAGGCACAGTTGGACCGTTGGGAACATTTACATTGCCTGTACCTCGATGAACAAAACATGTACCTGCACAGAACCTTTATTTCTAACAGTGTGTGTGTGAGACGTTAATACGTAAAGGTGTACAGTGTGGCCCGAAGAACTCCCGACTCAACGTCTCTGACTTTTAAATGAGTACTTAGAGTTACACAGGGTGACTTGCACACCATAGTTTAGCCTGTTTTCCCTTTTCCTGTCTTAGTAATGCAACTTCTTTCAGTTTTAACAAAAAATCTTACATAGTGCAGCTTTAAGTCTGATCTTAATAGGTTGTATAAGATGTAACATTAAGTGTCAGCTGCCCACAACACATATAGAAAGGTCCTTGGATAAAACATTATAACCAGGTGGCATTAAATGAACTGTTACTAACTGCTATGGAGACGTCCTACTAACGGACCATGGCAGGTATCAATATAACCCCTTAAAATCCCAGGCTTATAACATACTAAGGCTTATTATTCAGTAACTAAAGGGACTTCAGTGCAAACTGGCTGAGCTATTCTGAGGTTATAGACGTGTGTAATAAAACTTTGGGCCTGTCGATCGGCGCTGGCTTTTTAAGGGGCTAACCAGTTCCTTCGTACTAATCATATTTATATTGGTATAAAACTTCTATTTTTGGTCCATCTATTCAGTAACATACTATGCAACTAATTCAAAGTTAGCACGCCCTCTGGGAGTATATTAGGGAAAACGATGAGTCATGATCTGTTTGTGCTTCTCCTGCCTCGAAGGCACTGAATTCTACAATCTCAGGATGATGGGTGATGGGCCTTAAGGCCATATGCTAATAAAAACTTGCTGACTGTAGATTCTGTGAACAAAGAACCTGTCTGTCAGGGAAACCGTGGTCATCAGATGTCTCACTATAGCAGAATGGAAAACTGTAGGTTAAAGATTGAAATATATTAATCTAAAATACACATTAAGTTTGCAACAGTCTGCGCAAAGAAACCGGAATGTAAATGTTTCATCACGTATTTAACAGAGTCTCATCACTGTGTATTAAATATGAAAAGCCTTTCTACTGAATTGGACAGCCTTAATACATAATTAGGATTTTGACAAGCTCTGTCTTGGACTTCTTTGCCACATATATGCAAAGTAACTGAAAGATTTTGCTTCCATTCAATGGTTTCCAGCTCACAGATGGAGCAGAAAACTGCTGCGTCTGATTAAAGCCCCAATCAGAAGCTGCCAGTACTGGTACTGCAGTAACACAACACAGCTATAGGACTGTAGCTTGTAAATCATACAATGTCCTTTCCATGCACTACAACAGTCATTGGTAAACTCAGAGCCAGATCTGTAGCAGCAGTGGTGCTGTCCTGGCATTTCTCGACTTGGCCTTTAATAGTCTGAGATGTTTTTTCAGTCTTATTCACTGGTTTCCAGAGCGCAGATGGTGTAGAAAGCTGCTGGAGAGCTCTGGGGCTCCACGTTCACATACCAGCGAAAGTCAGTCCTGCCCCTGCATGTTAATCCTCATGTTCTTATACAGCAGGGATTGAGGATCTAATCGTGAACACGAAGTTCTGATGTTGCTTCACTTTCCCATCTGTCAGAATTTCTGCTCTGATGTGAAATGGTTTGCGGTAGAGAAACTTACAGACTCAGATATTTTTGACGCAGACGATATTTTTACAGACTCAGACGCAATTTTTGTCAATTTTACTTTTTTGCACAATTTGAACGCTTCAGTAGCCCTTTGCATTGTGTTATTCATTGTGTAATTTCATGATCAATGGACCAAAAGAAATGGTGCTAAATGACTTTTAAAAAATCTTGTCACATTAACTTCAATTAAAAGTTATTGACAAGAGAGGCACTGCCCCAGTGACCGTTTAATACCTTTATTTTTGAGAGCGTAGAATGTCCTCAGGAAAGAGGGAATACCAGAGCATCTTCTCATTCTAATGAGGAACCTCTATGCTGATCAACAAGCCAAATTCCGCACAGAAAATGGACCGACAGACTGGTTCCACACTGGCAAAGGACCTAGACAAGGCTGCATTCTATCACCATACATGCTCAACCTATATGCAGAACATATTTAGAGAAGCAGGACTTGGAAAAGATAATTGAGGATTCAGAATGTGTGGAAGAACATAAATAACCTTAAATATGTAGATGATACAACACTCATAGCAGAAAATCCAGAAGACCTGAAGTCTGAAGATCTGAATCTAATGATTACAAGAGTGTTGAAAGAGAGTTCAAAGAGAACTAAGTCAAAACCTGACTGAGTGAAGGACGTGTATTCAGAGGATGTGTGCGAATTATCTACAATTGTCGCCTGTATAATGTTGATTTTGCATTTGAGAACTAAACGACGAGCCAGACCTTCTTTTTGAGTCTGCGCTCTCAGAAATAAAGATGCTAAACTGTCACTGGGGCAGGACCCCTCTGGTCACTGGGGTAGTACATCTCAGTACCTTTAGTCAGGGAACATAACTGTCCAATAATCCATTGAGATTATATTTTCTAAGTTGTACTGACTCCACACACCCCGTCTCGGCTCCAGGCTTTTATTTTACTGTTCTGTCGGTTATGAAAAGGTACAAATACGAACTTTTCACCTGGATAAACTTATTTAAGGTTCACAATCAGACCTTAAAACCATTGTTGTACCTTTGAGGGAACATTTACACTGTTTGTACCTTGACGAATGAAAAATGTACCAGCACAGAACCTTTATTTCTAACAGCGTGTGTGAGAGACGTTAATACGTGAAGGTGTAAAACATGGTCCGAAAAACTCCCGACCCAACGCCTCTGACTTTTCAGTGATTATTTAGAGTTATACAGGACAATTGCACACCACATTAACTTCAATTAAAAGTTAAGAACGTTTTTTCTTTCTCCTGTAAAGTTACCATTTTGGAGATGAAAGGTTTTATTCTGACAGGGACGATATGTAAGGTTGACGATGGTAAAACAGCGGTAAATCTGAAAAAATACATTTTCTTTTAGGATTATTTTGCCTTACAACAGCCTGCGCATACCTCTCCAACATCCCTTACAGAAAAATCACATATCACTGCTGTCTGAACAAAATGTCATACCTCCAAAACAATAACTTTACAGGAGAAGGAAAAAACATACTTTACTTTTAATGTAAGTCAATGGAACCAGAGTTTTCTCCAAGTAATTTTGGGTCATTTCTTTTGGCCCATTCATCATGAAATTTATACACAATGTAAAGACCAAAAGGTATTTTCAAATTATGTCAAAAACAGAAAAATGAAGATATGAGGTTTTGTTCTGACAGCAGCGATATGCTTCACATGTAAAGTGTGCAAAAACATGTGTTTCAAGTAAACACGTGAATAATGTCTCATCAGCATGTGATCCTATATTTCCTCACAGGATAACACATATTTAATGTTAAATGTGCAAAAACCACATATATTTTATGCAAAAATCTGATCTCAAAACTAGCATAAAACAATATCTCAGGCATCAGGAAGTTTTCAGACTCATTCCATGCAAGAACTTTCTGTGAGGGAGCTTTTAGAGGTGGACGTCTGGTTCCTATCACCACCACTGTGAACAATTCTGACTCTGTAAGTTTCTCTAGAACAGAGCGTTTCACACCAAACCACTCTGAACGACTCTGTTTACACCTTAACCATTTCACCAGGCACAGATTTAGAAAAATCAGTGGAATTCCCCTTTAAGAGAGCCACGGCTCTGTTGTCTACCAGAACGAATGACGTGCAGGGAACTTCATAATGTTTGTACGACACCGCGCAATGTAATCGCCCGAGTGCAGGCCGCCGCGCGGTCTGAAGGCAAGGTGAATGTGCTGTAGGTTAGTGGATAGAGGCTTTGAGGGGATTAAAAAGAGAGAAGTCCCTGTGTCGTCCCCCCTCTCTCTATTCCTCAGTTCTCCCCTGCACACTCTACAAGTCGCCTCTGCATGTCAGCTATTTCTACATAATGGCATTTTTCTACTTCATAAAGGATTATCCCTGTAGGTGTGAAATTGGTTGTTGAACTCGCACATAGACGCTGCTTAAATGCGTGGGAGCATCACACACACACACATATAGACACATACATACACACACAGAAGTCTAAGATAAGCCGACCATCATTAAATACATTTTTTGCATTAAATTGCACAAGATATTACATTAATACGTTCTAGAAAACATGTTTTTTACATGCACAATAGGCATAAACAGTGTCAAAAGGCCTTTTCGCTTACTCACAATGCACGCCATTATTTCTCATGTTTGTGGTTTTGCAAGAGCAACAGGAGGCACAGCGCCAAAGTAATGAAATGCACTTTCTTTGTGGTTTGGTCAAAAGCCTGACTGATGTACTGAGCATCTGTTCCACAAAAAATACTAAGCGAAAGCTCTCAAACTGAAGACATTACTAGCGCAGAGTGGCTGTGCCCTGTGTAACGCTTTCACTGCATTAGCATGGTTGCATGGTTATTCCAGCTGCAGGCTTTGGCAGTGAGCACCAGACGAATTCCCCCAACAATTATTCTATCAAGAAACAAATCGGCGCTGTCTGACAAAGATAGCAATCTCCAAAATGGTAACTTTACAGGAGAAGGAAAAAACACTCAACTTTGAATGGAAGTCAGACTTTGTTTCAAGTTATTATGGGCCATTTCTGTTGGTCCAATCATCAAAACATTTGAACACAGTGTAAAGGACAGCTGGTGTTTTCAAACCATGCCAAAAAAATAAAAAAAACACCAAAGAGTCTAGGGGCTCCAAAAATGGTATGGGTGTAGGAGCGATACAGCAGGATAATGAGCTTTAGAGAGTAATTACAATGCTTAGACACTCACTCTGTGAATGGCCTGTGTCCAGAGGGACAGAGAGAGGGCTGGCACAGACCTGGCACTGTGAAGAGAATTCAGTGGGCTCCAATTTTAAAGAGCAGTCAGACAGTGAAAAGCGAATGGCCGTTCATTACACTTACAGTGCAGTGCACCCAACTGAGTCTCAACTCACCCCATCCACACTCTCCAAGCTACAGGCAATGCAATCCCGAAGTGGAACCACACACAACTCCAGCGGACACGTATGAGCCTCCTGCGGAAAATTCTCTGAGAGCAAGTGATGAAACTCCATGCACTGTTATGTTCCGGACGGGTTTAAGATCCGAAAAGGCTTCGGAAAGAAGCGCATGAGTGTGGCTGGTGTGGGAATGAATGAAGCACACACCTCTCCGACTGCAGGCTCAGAGGGAGTGCGGATCTGCAGCAACAGGTCTAAGAGTGCGGCCGAAAAAGAGTGAAAGTATGAAAGTCAGTGTGTGGAGGAGGAGAGCGAGTAACAGGGGGCTAGAGGGCATTGATTTGTTTCTCGGCTCCTTCAAGAAAGTATTTGTCCCCCCGCCCCCTTCATCCATCTACGTCCTCTCTTCTCCCTGTAAATGTCTGTAAAGAGAGGAGGAATGTAGCTTCTGCTTCCCATGGATCCAGCAGAGGAGCTGCACCAGATCATGGTGGACAGCACTGAAAGTTCAGATGGCGGGAAGTGACGAGGACAGCGAGGGCCTAGTTTGTGGAACAGCTGCACAAATCTTTGGTTTGCTTTATAAATCATCACTTTATGAAGAATCTTGTCTTATTTACACCAAAATCCTAAACAAAGTACAGGTGAATTTGACGTCTGTAACTTTCATTGATGTTTTTAAGATCTTGCAGAGCTATACATGTCCTTCCATTTTTTGTGTTACTTCCCAACACAAATTCAAATACTGAGGTTAAATGTTTGGTTACTGTTATTTTTCTGGGTTTACAGTTGATTCAGGTGCTTCACAGTGGCGAGTGGGTAACTTGAAACTATCGAAGATAACTCAACATACGCCCTTCAAAGTCAAACCAAGTAATTATTTCGCTATAGGAACAAACACTGTCTCTCCGTTTTTGTTTTTCATTTTTTTCATAATTTGAAAATACCTGTTGGTCTTTACATTGTGTGTAAATTTAATGATGAACCGACCAAAAGAAATGGCTCAAAATTACTTGGAAAAAGGTCAATGTTTAAAGCCTTAAACATGTCTTAAAATAATTAAAATATGCACTTCAAAGTAAAAAAAAAATATATATAAAATAATAAGGGAATAAAAACAAATAGACAGGAATCCACAGAACATAAAAAGCACAAAAATAACAAAGGTAAAGATTAAAAAAAGTATAACTTAAGAGGTACTAGACCGCTATCTATATATATACAGAAATATATATCTTACAGGCTTTGATTTACTACAACTGAACCTGATTTTACTAACCAAAGTTTTGATATATGGCTTTTTTGCATTTCTTCATCTTCTTATGTCTTACCATCTTTTTCTAAACTCATTTTTTCTATCTTAGCACACCGTTGACCATTTAATTTTTTCTTTCATTCTTGTTTTTCGGCTATATCTCTTCCATATAGTTATACTTCAACAAAGTTTCAGTTAATCAAGGCATTTACATAACCTAATAAATGTAAATAACCTTGCATAAAATAATGTAGGCCAGTCTGTGGGAGTGCACGTCATGTCAGGGGGTCGCCAAACCTTTTTAACTGAAACATATCAACATAATTGCTGTATTGAATTTTGTCAGTTTGGCTTTGTGCATACTAACCAATAAGACTTCTACATAATTTCACTTGGAGGTGTGCTGAATGGCTTTAAGCTTTGGCTACCATTTGGAAACCCTTCAAACCTTACAACTTTCAAACTGAAAGGTATTATAACCACAACATAATTGTATTATGCCATTTTATCCATATCATGCAGTCCTACGACGAGCAAAACTAGGTTAGAAAATCTGTTTATAAGCTATAGCAGATTGACCAATAACATCCAAATTCTATGCATTTTACAAAACCTCCTAACCTAAAGGTGTGACTGAAAGTCTTTAGACGGGATTTTTCCAAATTATCTACATAATTCAACAGTTACGATGAGAACAAAGTCATTCAGAGTGGTTTGGTGTGAAACGCTCTACTCTAGAGGAATTCACAGGGTCAGAACTGTTCACAGTGGTGGTGATAGGAACCAGACATCCACCTCTAAAAGCTCCCTCACAGAAAGCTACTGCATGAAATGTTTATGAGTACTCCGCCTAAAGCCTGAGACTCTGTTTTTATGATAGTTTTGAGATAAGATTTGGGCTAAAACATGAGGTACATCCAGGGTGACGGCAAAATAGTCCCCAAAGAAAACTTACTTGCCACTATTTTACCATCATCATCATTACATATAAATCTCAGAAGACACGTGCGAGTTCACTAGTGGTTCTCAATAGTAAATACTCAACACTCAATAGTGTTGTACACATGGTGACCCCTGGTTCCTATCACCACCACTGTAAAGAAATCTGCAACTGTAAGTTTCTTTACAGTAAACCATTTCACATCAAACCGCTCTTCACATCACAACCACTTTGGGTGTACAGCTACATCAAGGTCAGTGAGGCTGGACCTAGTGTGTACTCCTAACACACAGCTGTTTAAAGGCCTGTACACTCACATAAACCCAGGACAGCACCTCTGAACGAGGGGGCGCACACACACACACTAAAAGCTGATAGGGGATGTGCTGGCCGCCATGTTTAAAAAGTGAGAGTGGTAACTGAGGTCAACTTTAACAGCCCATCACTGGAATGCAGAGAGAGTTTATTGGTGCTTTCCAGCTGTCACTCATGACACACTATAACTCAACAAGCCCAGGTCACACTTAAAGACCTGACAGGCTAAAAAACTGTCCTGACCCCGGGGTCACAGGTCAAGCACAGGACCATCATCTGCAGATGTTATCCAGTACAGCATGCATTCAGGAACACAAGCTACACATGATGCGTGATCAGAGACGGGCAGTAACTACTTTCATTCACTCAGTTCTGAAGGAGGATTCAGCTGGATTTGCTGCTTTCTGACTATCCGCAAACATTAGTACTTATATTCATGGGTATTTATGAAGAACCTGTTTTCCTCAGATATAATTTAGTCTGTCAAATTAGTTCCATTTTGTGTTTCTGGTGTCTTATTTTAGATAAAAAGGATTCCAAAATAAGTCAAATACAGCCTATATTTCCTAATACGTGACTTTTAGGGCTGTATTTGTTTTTGAGACCTGGATCCCTTCCAGACTTTTCCATAAATAAATGTTGTGGTCAACTGGAAATCTTGAAGAGCAAGCAGAAGAGCACAGATGCAGATACACATGTTACATGTTTTAGTCTTCAGAGCTGGAATTAATATTTTAGATTCACAATTAATACAATTGAATCAGATGCTTTATTACTGAGTAGGGCTGCACAAACAGTCTGTTACGAAAATCAGCCAATAGTGATGTTAGGCTGCCAAAAATCCCTCTAATAATAAATATACCAAATAATTTTCCTTATTTATTTAAGCAGAGGAGCCCTGCTGAGACTGTGTCTGGTTTCCGAATAAAACTAGTGAGACATACAACAAAGTGTAAAACAAGGAATAAATAAAATATATACACTTTATATACACTAAAAATGTGCATTGCAAAGAACCAAGACATGATTCAAAACCTTAAAAATGTAAATTCAAATCTTAAAAAGAAAAGAAAATATGCACTCCAAATTAGATAAAGAAATGAGAGAATTAAAAAAGTAATCAAAACAAAGAAATTACAAAAATATCAAAATTAAAGCAGAAATAAAAATCTAAAAATAATACAGTCTTAAAAAAAAAAATGACAATTTTTTTTTGATTTTCTAAGCAAAAAAAGTTTGTATTTGCTGTGGTTAACATATTTAAAAAAAACTAAAATATTAAATGGGCCATATCTTTCACACAGGCCATATTTTATATTTACTTTTTCCAATATGACCAGAGGCGCCAAAACTTTTGCACACAAGCGTACATAGACGAAGTGGATTCCAAAAAGTGAAGACCAGAGCGTAACTTTACTTACTATCCTGAGAGATGCTGAATGTAGTAAGAAGTACTTCTACAGTGCTACATGAAACTCAGTACCTGAAGAGTCTCTTAATTTAATCGTTTCTCACTCCAAGTATTTTGAAGCTACTTTTACTTTGATTTTAGTCATTATTTCATTTAAATAACAATACTTTGACTTGAGATTTAGGCTCTCCTACCAGCTTCTGCTCTACATGTAAGTATACAGACGATACAGTAACATTGAAAAACTAATTTAAAATCTTTCTTGGATTAAAAACCAACATTATTCACTAAGCAGAACGAATTGTGCCAAAAATCAAACGTAACTACTTTTGTAGTTATTTTTAAACCCCTGAGCTCCACATTCAATGTCCCTGACACCGTCTGTGGGAACACTCCTTACCCAAGCCAGGGGTGGTCTTAGCACAATTTATGGCTTCTTCTAAAACCTCAATATCACATCTCAGGTTTAGCGATACAGTGGAACACCTTGTTTGATTTAAAGTCTTTTAAGTGGCGCTTGAGACGACAGCGTAGCGCGGCTGTGGATGAGAGAAAGGGGCGAAGTGAGAGGGGGAGAGTGAACGGGTTACGAGTTGAAGGGAGATCAGACTGGCCCACAGGTGTGTGGAAGCCTGCTAGCCATTGCAGAGTCACTCTTTCATGTTGCGGGGGGCTCCGGGTTAGCAGGCGCTACAGGGCGCCAGGAAGGCCATAAATCCTGCTGGCTGTGAGGTTTGTGGACCGAGGGGAAACTGGCTTTGTCTCTGGGAGAGGAGCATGCTAGCTGAAGGACATGGCAGCAATCTCCCCTCCTTTCATCTAACTTTTACAGAAGTTTGTGCTGTTTAAAAACTCCAGAGACACTTTGAGACCCTTCTTTCTTTTTAAAATACACACAGAGGTACAAGGATAGGCAGCAGTGCTGAAAACTGAAACGAGAGCCACCGTATCTGATCTGTGTCTGCTTAGCATTTAACATTCAGGTCTGTCACCTTGTTGGGGAGAAGCTGAATTTGGTAACACTTTCTATGAATGTCGCCTTTGTAAGCATCTATAAACACATTCATAACATGTTATAATGCATTCATAAGACATTATAAACATAGCTATAAATATTTATAAAAAATGCACTATACGTTATAGCCATGTTTATTATGCATTATGAATTGTTACCATAATACATTATAAGTACTGTTCATAACAAATTATAAGAGCTCATAAGTCGTATTTGTCTGCTCTAAGTAAAGTGAAGCGTACGGTACTAAAGCCTCCTCCAGTGTTCAGAGTGAGGCTTCAAGTTGAAGTATTTACTGAAGGATTTACTGAAACACTAAAACATTCACAGTAAAGCACATTACAGGCTTCAGATGTCAGAGTTTAAACTAGAGCTGCCATCAGTGTTTTACCCAATGTGGGAAAGGTAATGTACACCACCGTTAGCTTGGTATTTGTCTTTACTTTACACTCTCCAAGCTGGGACTGACTTCTTTGGCACTGACGTTATAACA